AGGTGATGGGGACAGAGTACTGTGCTGGAATTGAATAGCAGACCAAGGGTCCACTCCAACAGACAGAGTTGATGGAAGGAGTCCTTTTGATTTCAAAGGTTACTAGACAGGATTCATAATATTGATCTTGCTCTGCTGAGCTCACTTTATGTCCAGAGTTTGTGCAAAGATGGAAATGTATGCAGCTGTAGAACTCTACAAATAGCAGCCTCAAAAGCACATCTGTGACTTGAACAGAGCAACTGTTCATGGTAACCCTGTTCTAACTACAGAAGAAATTCCATTCCACTCGTGCTTTGTGTTGCCTAGTTCCTCCTACCTTTCTTTTTTTTATCTCTGTCTGTAGAAGGACACACCAGGTGGAAAACTTTCAACTTGCTATTTGTGATCTGTGCAGAACAGAAGCTTCTTAACATTTTAAACACAGGCAAAATGTATAGTTTTCCATATTCCACTAGCTTGAATGGATTTTGTACACATTATAAATAATTCCTAGTCCTTCATATAGAACGAGGAAAAGGAATCTCTAATGGGATGAGAGATCCCTTCCCCTGGTCGGCTACATGGAGCATGACCCAACTTTCTGTTTGTAATATCTCCATCAATCACCACTCAATGTTTCTTTTCCCTTTCAGCCTCACTGCCTACTTCGGCCTGTTTGAGATCTGCAAGATCAGAGCGGGAGACACAGTGCTGGTTACTGCAGCAGCAGGGGCTGTGGGTTCAGTGGTGGGGCAGCTTGCTAAAATCGGAGTGAGTGGCTTATTGTTCATATGAACACCATCGATCCCCAGGTGAAGGAGAGGAGGCATCTGAGAGCTTGGGAGTAAAGGGGACAAAGTGTCTCTGAGATGAGATGAAATGGGACTAGCTCCAAGATCAGTGGTTTAACTCTGACGAGACACTTCTAGTAGGATAATTTAATTAAACTGATGTAGTTGTTTGCAATTATTATTGCTCTTTGGGACTGCTAGCCCCACCCTGCCTCATTGCTCAGTTGAGAAGCCCCATTGACTCCATGTGACCAGAGCTAGACCTGAAAAGAGGACCAAGCAGTCTGCAGTGTGTATGCATAGTTGATCTTTTCTCCCTGTCAGTAGTGTCCCTATAATCCCCTAAAGCAGAGAAGCTGACTACAGGAACCAGGACCACAGCAGATGTAGTTAGCTATGCACATGTAGCAACGTGGTAGTGAACAGCCAGATGAGAAACAGAGTATTGCCCTCAGAAAAGAAAGAAAATATGCCACAATCAAATTCCTGCCTGCACTTATCATTCAGCTGGTGCAAACCTTGTAACCAGCACTCTCCTTTGCCAGGGACACAGCATGTGTTTTCCTTTTATATTCTTTGTCAGTTGTCCCAGAGGCCCGAGTTGTCAGCCCGTCCCTACACCAGTGTGTGTAGCTGTAACTATGTTGCCACTACGTCACAAGCCTGTCTTCACTTGTCAGCACCACACAATATATGTAACTTAAAGAAGACTGCAAGTGTGTGGTGAGAGGAGGCGAAAGGGGTGTATGTGCTTTTAGAAACATTTTTCTGTCCCTGCCAATAACACAGAAGAGAAATGGTCTGAAATGTGAATGTTACGTGGGCTGTGTGTCACACATCATAAATTTACCCCTTCAGTGGCAATCTCAGAATTCTATTTGGTATCTTCCTTTTTTGAATCCTTGTTGCTAAAACACTGAAATGTAGGACAGACAACTCCTACAGCATAACTTACTATAGCAGGTCATGTGTCCTAAGTCCCACATGGCCTGCAGAGAGATTTCTGTGCATGGCAAAGAGAAGTAGGTGGAATACAGCTTTCATGGGGCATCTTAAGGCAGTGGGAGGTGGGGAGGAGGGGATCCACAGCTTTCAAAAGCTATGAAGGGCAGAGAAAGTTACAGGTTTTGCTATCTGGTGGCACGTGGCACCTCATTTATCGTTTGTGGTTCATGCTGAAACCTGAGAATTGACATGTATTTTCTTTTTGCCCAGGGCTGTAAAGTGGTTGGCTGTGCTGGCTCAGATAAAAAGGTTGCTTATTTGAAACAGATTGGCTTTGATGAAGCCTTTAACTATAAGACGGTGGGATCCTTGGAAGAAGCCCTGAAGAAAGCCTCACCTGATGGCTACGACTGCTACTTTGATAATGTGAGTTCAAACGGGCTAGCTGGAGTGCAAGCGCCTTGCGAAGGCTCACTTCTTTCTTACGTGCACGTGTGCTGGGAATGTTGGGCATAGTACTGAGAGAAATAGCCTCATCAGAGTATTTATTTTCCAAGTCCTCTTTTGCTACCTAAATTGCTGGCTTGCAATGGGGAAGGAGGAATAGCGATGAAACGGAATCAGCTTTCAGTTGTTCTTGCCTCTCTCTCTATTTGAGAGATGGGGATTGGAAAGTCGTAATTTGAATACATGTAAAATTAATCTAAGGTGGTTCATCAGTGGCAGGTCAGAGGTATTCTGGGGGGATGGAAGGATGGACATGTGCTTAAGACACTCAACCGTGACTTAGTAGATCAAGTGATTTGCCCACTGTCACATATCTCTTTGCATCAACTGGGCAACTGAGGCAAATTGGTGTAGATCAGAGTATAAAATATGGCCCTTCAAGCCACCAGATCCAGCCCTCGGGAGCCTCAGCCAGGCTCCCTTCCTGCCTTGCCCCTGCACACTGCTCTCTGAATACTGTGAGCCTGAGGTGGGGGGGAGGTTTTGCGTGCTGACTTTGCTCCCAGCACAATCTTACAATTCCCATTGGCTGGAAACTGGCCAATGGGAGCTGCCTATTTGTGGGACAGGCAGCACACACAATCTCTCTCCCTACCTTCCCCCAGGCTTACAGCATTCAGAGCAGCACACACGGCTTCCTTGAGCAGCACGGGGGTGGGGGGGCATGGACGTCAGGGAGCCTGTCTGAGGAACCTGCTCGCTGGGAGCTGTGCAGTTAAGTGCCTCCTGGCCACAGCCAGCCTCCAACACCCCTGCCCAGATAATCCAAACCCTCTGCACCCCCACTCCTGCACCTCAATCCCCTGCCCCCGATTACAACCCGCTCCCAGACCCTGCATCCCCTCCTACACCTTTCCAAGTTACAATCCTACCCTGCACCCATACATCCTTCCAGACCCTGCACCCCAGTAGTCTTCCCCAGGTATCAGCCCCTTCTTCACCCATACTCCCTCCCGGATCCTGCTCCCTTCTGCACTCTCCATCCCAGCCACCACACTTCCTCTTGATATCATGGAAGAGTGCAGCCCTTGACCACTTACCAAATTCTTGGACTGGTCCCCCATCAAAAATTGTTACCCACCCCTGATGTAGATGAATTCCATTCAATGGTGACCTATTGACTTACATCAGAGGGGTAGCTGTGTTAGTCTGGATCTGCAAAAGCAACGAGAAGTCCTGGGGCACCTTATAGACTAACAGATTTATAGGAGCATTAGCTTTTTGTGGGCAAAATGCATCTGACGAAGTGGGTCTTTGCCCACGAAAGCTTATGCTCCAATAAATCTGTTAGTCTATAAGGTGCCACAGGACTCCTTGTTGATATTGACTTGCAGCAGAGGACATGCCCACTAAGCAGGGGGGCTCACAGCCATGCTGGGCCCCTTCGCAAGGGAGGGATGTGGACTGTCTCCACACTCCTGGAAGGAACGAGCCTCAGGCAGAAGGGCCGGGACAGTGAGCACACCAGACCAGCCCCCCACAGCTCTCAGTGCACACAGCACTCCAGCAGCAATTTAAAGGGTCCGGGACTCTGGGTGACTGCTGCAGTAGTGGCAGCTAGGAGCCCCAGGCCCTTTAGAATCACCTGGTCTTGCAGCAATTGCCCTCTTTGTCTCCTGGTGCGATCGAGCCCTTGACACATTGTCTTGGATCTCAGGTCAGAAAACTTTTCATTGATACCATGACTACCTCAGCCCAGCACTCCAGCAGCAATTTAAAGGGTCCGGGACTCTGGGTGACTGCTGCAGTAGTGGCAGCTAGGAGCCCCAGGCCCTTTAGAATCACCTGGTCTTGCAGCAATTGCCCTCTTTGTCTCCTGGTGCGATCGAGCCCTTGACACATTGTCTTGGATCTCAGGTCAGAAAACTTTTCATTGATACCATGACTACCTCAGCCATGTTTCCTGTTTAGCCTCTGCTTGATTAAGATTTAAAGGTGTGGTGTTTGACTGAGGGAGCTACACTGATTTCACTTAGTGAAATAATACCTTTAAAAGTGCAAGTCAAGGCAAGGTTTTGGGGTTCTTTTTAGCAGATCCAAAATAGTTAAGCTAAGCCCTACGCTCCCATCTGACACAATCTCACATCACACCTTTAAATCCCTGTCAACAGAGTCTCAGATGCCCTGCAGATGTTGGGTGAACATTCGGAAAACTAGCCTCCCTAAGGACCTAGTGGTTCAATGTAAGACCATATATGAGGAGAGGGTGATAAGGATAAAGAAAACACAGAAGTAGTTTAGTTTTTGTACTCTCCTAAAATGCTGAGGCACACCCTTTGGAAATAGCTTGGCTATGGATCAGGATTTACAAACTTTTCCCAGAAGTGGGCTGACATCAACTGCAGTTGCACAAAGAAAACAACAACAACAAAAGTTTTCAACTTAGAAACATGGGGAAATTGATTCATATTTTCCAAGGAAAGGGAATTGTCAAGATAAGGAGAGGCTGTAACGAAATACTTCTCATGCAGACTGTGTAGTGCTTTCTGTGATCAAGCTGTGGAACACTGGCTTGCTATCCTTTTGTCTAACGGTTTAAAGAACAAGCACTGCTGTATCTGGCAGGTCCTTGGAGAAAATCTGATCATCCCAGTGCTTAAATTATAATGGGATATACTGTAAGGCTGTGTCTACACTGGCACCCCTTCCGGAAAAGGGATGCTAATGTAGCACTTTGGAATAGGCAAATCCATTAACATGGCTGCCGCTTTTTTCCGGCTTGGAAGTAGGAATAAGAGATCCTCCGGAAAAGGCTTTATTTTCCGGAGAATCACGTCTAGACTGGCGCTTTTCTCCGGCTTATTTCCAAACCGGAAGAAAGTGGCAGCCATGTTAATGGATTTGCCTATTCCAAAGTGCTACATTAGCATCCCTTTTCTGGAAGGGATGCCAGTGTAGACACAGCCTAAATGTAAATACGGTCAGCAGAAATCCTCACTTGGTGTTCTGGTGCTTACATTCTAGATCCCACCCAGTCTACTTCTTAGCACTTAGTCTTTCAAGCCCCCTTCATGCCAACGCTCTGCCAGGTTCGGATACCTCCATTAAAAGCCTTCATATGGTCCACTTCCCTTTTCACATTTTCCCTAGATCAGCTGCTTTTCTCTGTGCCCTTCCTAAAAACTCTCTACTTCTGGCTTGACTTCAACTGCTAACCACCCACCTCTTTCTTCATACCAGCCCTTCTGTACCAGCTCACTTACCTTCCCAGGGTGATATTAAATTAGAGCCAAGGTGTTCATCTTGCTGCTCTCAAATTTAATCTCTTCCCTGTCCTTTTTTTAAATTTATATGAATTCAGGGCAGGCACTAGGTCATTTTATGTGTTTTTAAAATCTGTACAGTTGGTGTTATCTAAACAGCAAATGAATGCCAAGATGACCCTGCCCTCTGTGTTGATAGTATGGGACCGATAATATAGATGGGCCCAGAGCAGTGCTTTTGAATCAGATGCTCCCAAATAAGGGCCCAATAGTACTAGCACTGAAGCATATGAGTAACTTGACTTTGGTGACTAGTTGCCCAGTAGACGTGCACTGCTCAATGGGAGAACTTGCATGAAAAAAGTTAATACGTGCTTAAGTGTTTACAGGATCAGCCTCTGTTTACATGATCCTAGAGGATTTTATTTGTAACTTTTTATTTATGTTCTGACTACCTTAGGTGGGGGGAGAGTTTTCAAGTATTGCTCTTAATCAAATGAAGAGATTTGGGAGGATTGCTGTATGCGGAGCTATCTCTGGGTACAATGACACAGTGCCCCAGAAAGGTATGAGTGTTTTTGTCAGTTACTTTTTTATGGTGGAGAAATAATGAAGAAAGAGAGCCATCTTCTCTTTGAATTCTTTTAATGTTTTTATGTTGCCTAAATGTGAAATTATATATTATATGGAGCAAATGTAACGCAAATGCTGAAGTTTTAGGACAACATTAATTACAATCATTCTGTGCCTCAAAGATGTATTTGCCCCAAATTTAAAAAAATATCCATAGTTCTTTCTCACCAGGTAAAATTTCACAGAAAAACAGCATGGCTCATCGGAGTCAAAGCTGTATGTGAGTAAACAGGAATGAGCGTGGGAGGGGATGGATATGCCCTTCAGCTTGGAGAACCCCCAAAATTGGTAGCTGATCTTTGATATTTATCATTAAACAGTTCCAGATAGTTAAACCTCACTGTCCTGTTGGCCATCTACCATCTCATCAGGAGAGAAGTGGGGGGAATGAATGCTGGTTTAAAACAAATGGAGAGATTAGTGATGGGCAAGAGCCATACAAATAAACTGCCCAATAAGTGTAAATTACTAATTCTCAGGAAAAGAAGTGACTACCCCTCATCTAAAATGCCAGTAATAGCAAGGAAGGGAACCCTTGCAGACTACAACCAGAGAACTCCTCGTAGTAGAGACCTGGTGACAAATGGTGTGTGTGAAATAAAATTTTAGTAGAGTATTTCTTGCGCACCAAGAGAGGGCAGTAAAGAATGATGAACTGGATTCCTCTTGAGCTGCTTTATCATCAAGGATTCCAAATTTTAGCTTTAGGGTAGTATTTACCTGACAAATGTTTTTATGTAAACAAATAGGCTACGTCTACACTGGCGCATTCTCACGCAAAAATTCTTTTGCGGAAGAGTTCTTCTGCAAAAACTCTTCCAGAAGAGAGCGGCTACACTGGAATGTGCTTTTGCGCAAGAGCATCCATGCCAATGTAGACGCTCTAGTGCGCAAGAAAGCTCTGATGGCCATTTTAACCATAGTGCTTTCTTGTGCAAGAAATTCATGTTGCCTGTCTACACTGGCCTCCTCTGGAAGAGCTCTTGCGCAAGAGGGCTTCTTCTTGAGCGGAAGCATCATAGTTCTTGCGCAAGAAGCCCTGATTTCATACATTAGAACATCAGTTTACTTGCGCAAGAACACATGGCCAGTGTAGACAGGCAGCAACCTTTTGCACAAGAGCAGCCGCTGTGGTGCAAGATCACGCCAGTGTAGACACAGCCATACAGTTTATGTAAATAGCAGTGGTTTACTGAGGCATGCAATTTCTGTAGCAAAGCTGAGTTCACAGTACCATGGTCTATGGAAAAGTTCTTTCTTCAGGCCTTTAGATGTTTTTAATTTTAATGGACGGATTTGCACTGGAACTGAGCACCATCAACTCAAGTGAACTCAAGGGGAGTTGTAGATGACAATCTGTTAGGCCATTCCAGGTTCCATTGTCAAAAAGGGACAGAGGTGTCTAAATCCCACTACTGGCTTTCAGTGAACCCATGACTTTCCATAAAGACATGACTTAGTCTCTTTTCTACATACTGGGGCATTTAAGCCCCTAAGTCATTTAGAACTGAGAATTTTGCACCATCAATATTTTCTCTAAATTAGGCTGATATCTCTATACTAAGGGCTAGATTCACAGGACTGGAGCACTTGGCTCAGGACTACTCGACAGGTGGCCCAATTTGGGTTTACACAGGGCTCAACAGGCAGCCCACAGGTGGGATCCTTTGAACATAGCCCTCCACTGGGAACACGCTCCATAATGGACTGTCATTGCTTATTAAAACTGCTGTCATAGAGGTGGAAATTGGGTAAATATTGCATTTTATTAATATCAGAACTGACTTAAATGGGGCCTGTGTTGTGTAGTTTTGTCTTAATCTTTGTATTCATGCCCGTGTGTGAGAGACGCTATTTGCATATATATTTGTATTTACATGCAACCACTTATGTTGCAGCCCTCGGTAGCCCTGATTTTGCTGCTATTTTAGGCACTTAAATCCCTCCCCACTGGGATTTCCAAAATCCTTGTTCTAATCATTGGGCTATGCATATAAAGGGGGAGGGGCCAGCACACATCACCATTATATGCAGAGCCCCATCTGGTCAAGAAGTACAAACTTGGGTTGGTAACACACAGATTAGGTTGGCTTTATCAGCATCTCAGTACAGAAGCTTCGCCTTGCTGCATATTGGCTTAGTTTTAAACAAAGTAATATTACCAGTGATTTTTTTTAAACCATCTCCAACAGGCCCTTATGTTCAGATTCCAATGCTCTTCAACCAGCTTTCCATGGAAGGATTTATCGTTTCCCGGTGGAATGACAAGCGTGAAGAGGCCCTGAAGAGACTATTAAAATGGGTGGTAGAGGTAAAAAGAAGTGACTGTTTCCCAAGACTACTCTACCCGCTGCAACTTCCTTCCTTGCCTACATTACCAAGAGCTAAATCTGCTGCCATACACTACTTTTCCACACCCAACATATCCCTTGAGTGTGTGAGAAGTGGCAGGGGAGAGGGGAGAAAACATTATGCTGAACACAGTACATAAGAATAGGGCATGCATTAACCTAAACTAAAGGGGCACGGCACCAAACTCAGCTCCCTTCCAGTATAAAGACAGTTAGCTAACATGCAAGAAGGGGTCCAGGACACCCCTAAATGCAAGTCTTTTTACATGACCCATTTCAAATACTGCCTTTTCCCCCCTTAGCAAACAAGTATTTTACATCCAGGCTTGCTCTTTTTCTTTTCCACTTTAAAACAGTCAATTCTTGTGACTTATCACACCTGTTTGCTGCAGAGAGAAACTTGGAAATGTGATCCCTAAAGATAACACTAAGCTTCAAAGGACCTAGAAGTTGGGGAGGAGGGGGTGTGTCTATTTATGGCTTCTGAACACTTAAGTGTTGGTAACTACATTTACAAGGAGAGGAAGAAAGTTCTAACACTCCATAGCTGAAGATGGAAATGTTAGACCTGTTGCAGTTAGCCTCTGCAGAAATAACTGATGTTCCATAGATAATCTGGGTTCAGCCAGAGGAAGGATGGTAGAGGAACTACGAAAAGCAGAATCTAGGTTTAAATCACTTTTGTTGAGCAGTATGGTGCAGAAGAAAATTGGGTAACACTTTAATTTTTCTTTGTACAGGGGAAAATCAAGTGTGAAGAACATGTTACTGAAGGATTTGAAAAAATGCCAGCCGCTTTCATGGGAATGTTAAAGGGAGAAAACCTTGGAAAAGCAGTAGTAAAAGTGTAAAGAGGATGTGGTTCACTCAACATAAGAAACCTTTCTACAACCTGAAAAGCCATGGCCAAATGCTCAGCTGTAATTTGCCATTTCATTAAAGTAATCTAACATGCTCAAAATAGAGGTCTCCAACTGTTTCCTGAAATAAGAATGCGCCATTCAATGCCACAAGCAGCCAAGCAATTATAATCCAATATTATTACCATAATCAGCCACCATTGCTACTTCTGATTTGAGGCATGTAGGAATACACTCTAATTTAATGGACATTTTGAAAGGCCAGCCAGGCTATTCTGCTGGAGCAGTACACTACTTTATACCAACTGAGGAGCTGACCTTTAAAGGCAAGGAACCTAACTGAGATGTTTAAGAGCTTGATGTGAACTAAGCTCCACACAGAGAGAAGTCAAATGCAGCTAGCTAGTGAAGTCACTGAAATAGGATTTGTACTAGAGCCGTAAGATGTAGATTTTATGCTGTAACTTAGAATAGTCAGAATAATAGCAACAGCTGCCATCCTGGTAGTTTAAGCTGAATTTTTCCTTCTCCCATCTGTGTTACTTCAATTTATTCAGGCTAGTTCCTTATTTTAACACACACTCAAACTTCACATTTATCCCGCTCTAGGAAATTCTGCAGGAATGTAGTGGTGACATGCCTTTGCATTCAGCTCACAGGCAGTAAACTCATGTGTTCTGGAATAGCTAAGTGAGACCTAGATAGACTACTGCTCAGCTAAAAGATACTGAATAGCCTAAAAATGGAGAGTACCTTGAACAGAGCTTTCTGCAGGTGCACATAGAAGCAGTAAACTCTACAACAGGAATATCCGACCCACTACAAACAAACAAGATGTAGGGAGCCTCTGCCTGATGCCTTTCACTCAGTAACTAATTCATGAAGCATGCTCACATCTTCCAAGTGGGGGCTTATATTAGGACCTAGGCTCTCTGTGGCTAACAGATAAAGGAATGCTGAATGGGTTAGGTGCTACAGAAGCCAATGCATCTTAAAATTAGGCAACAGGCTCCCATTGCCAAGACAGACTAGGTTCTGCACGGGCTCCAGGATGCCAAATGAGTCAACATCTTATAGGAAAACCCCCAACCCTGAAGTGTCCTATACCTAATGCTAAAGCAATAATAATCACTGGGTATAAATAGCTTTAGCCTTCCAGTTGTCAGTACAACTGTCTTACCTGCACAAACTGCCTGAAGGTTGGGGATGTGAGTAATCTACTGCCAAGGAACACTGCTTGAGAGGCTAAGAAGTCAGCTAGGAAAAGCAAGATAGCAAGTTGGGCTTGAGTCTGACAGTGGGATTTTATATTCTGCAGCTCTACTCTTCATGGAGATGGAAGCACTTTTGGCCAAAAGTGAGCCCTAGCCCAGTGTCATACTACAGCTTAGCCTTCTGCCTGAAGAATGGGGGACTGGACACTTAATGCCTAAACTCAATCAGCACTGAGAGGTTTTGTAAATTTTACAATATTCAGAACTCTGCTAGGGAGTGTAGCACTAAACTCCATGTTTGATATTCTGAAGAGTTTGTGGATTTATTTGCACAAAAGTCATGCTTTGTGATATCTTATTACAGTAGGTAGCAGGTCTGAAACAAGCCCATGTATCACAGGCCAGGTACTTGTAAGATAAAGCAGAGTTAAGCTGTGAGCGAGAGGCAGGCCCTGCTCACAGAAATTGGCAAGAACAAGGCTGGTATTACAGAAATATTCTGAGATACTCTAGAATGTGCTTACAGCCTATGCCTAGTGTATCTTGGTACCACCACTCTCTCCCCCCCCTTCTTCCCAAATTACATTCCAATCTAGCTTCAGGACCAGGTCTAAAAATGACAGCATGATTGTGATCCAACCTCATGTAGAAGGTAATGGTTGCCTCTAGGTAACATGATTGTGTAATTTGTATGTGTACAAGTGTACCCCAGAGGGTTGTCATCAACTGACCATGGAGGCAACACTAGAATCCAGAGTGTTTGGGTGTTAATCCATTGTCACAGCCTACATAGGTATAATGGCACAGTAGCAAGTGTGTTCAGACAATTACTGTACCTCACTTGGCAATGAACCTAGTCAAGAGCTTTCCATCCTTCTGATTTGTGGTCTGAGTCTTGTGTTGATTAACTGTGCATGGTTAATGAGTTAGACAAGGAGCACATGCAGCTGAAAGGTTATCATTGATATCTCAGAGGACCTATTGGGAACCCATTGGGATGACCCTGCCTGATACACCCCTACAGATATAAAATTTTGCATAAACAATCCTGCCACTTAAGTTAACTCAATGCACTATTTACACACTGGAATATGTTGGGTGAAGGGTTTAATCCCCCCCCCCACCAGAAAAAAGTCATGATTTATGACTAGAGTTCATAAATATTTTCTAACAACTAAAATCAAGTTGCCTATTCAACTCACTTTAAGGACAAGAAAATTTTTACTGTTACAAATCACACTAATTCAAATTAGAGTGTAATGGAAGCCTTATGATTTTGATTCAAATGTACTATGCATGAGAATTATTCAACATGAATAATGTTTGAAGTCAAAATCCTACAAATTTAACTGTTTACTTCCTTTTTATTCATCATTTAATTTCTTGAACTTTCCTATAAGTGCCTAGTCAACAGGGTTTGCCTGCTAGTCATGTAATAAGTCTCCTAGCCACAAACTCTAGTATTGTACTGTTTGATGATTTAATGCACAAGATGTTGCTCAATATATTCCTAGCTTTGCTGAGTCAGCTGAGCTCAGTCTGACTAATTTTGTCAAGACTGTGCTTGCCCCAGTTTCCCTTTACTTTGCACTGCTACCCATGGGCTGCTAAAGAGTTAACCCTGCTCTCTGACTAGGGAGAGACATGGTGTTAGTAAAACCAAATCACATCACCTGAGAATCAAAGAAACCAGGCAAACCCCAATAACTGAACAATTGACTAACAGCAGAACCCCTCTGGAAGGCAGATGCAAAAACCCACAGTGCATTGTTCCCCAAAGGGGTATAGTACAAGGCCCCTGTATGAGTCAAGCTTGTCTGTATTTACCACAGGGAAAGACAGTACTGTTAGTGGCCCAAGGTCCTGTTTCAGTTGAGAACAAGGGACTACCCCATGGCAATATGGGTCCTTGAGCACTCCAAGGAGTCATTAAAAGGTACAGAATAGATTAGTGGATGTGGTTTTCTGCAGATCATGGAGCAGATTCTTGTGCAGGGCTCTCTCCGCCACCCCCACCTGACTGCCAAGCAGAGGAGGGGCAACTCCCTCCTTCCCCCCAGGGAAAGGGTGCAACAGGTTGCCAAAATCACCCTATAAGGGCCCCCCACCTAGTAATCACAGACCTGCAGAAGCATATCAGATCAGTTGAGCCTGGTGGATGCTTATCCACATTTGTATCTGTGCAAGGCTGTATAAATGAGACCCTGACTCGTGACAGCACCAGAGTTTAGACTCAAATGAAAAAAGCTTTAATTTTGTCAGACAGTGAAGCCATTGTCAGCTGGTGACATCGATCTTGTTAAGGTTGCTTGGACCCCTCATTTCTGATTTTGCTTGACCTAGTCAGAAGGCAAAACATGCTTTTGCATGTTTAATAACTACTTGCAGGGCTCAACAAATGCACTCGCCCACGGTGAGTAGATTTTATCAGCTGGCGAGTGCAGGGGCAGACTGGCCTGGTGGGCAGTTGTGATGGGCTGGCCAAAGCCCGCACTATGGGCGTGTTGGCCCCATCCGATCCGCCGGCTGAGTGGAGGAGCAGAGCGCCACCGGAAAGGGGGAAGCGCAGTGATTCTCAGCACCAGGCTGCCTGTGAGAAGCTCCAGTGCGAGGAGGTGAGGCACAAGCCAGATGCCAGGACACTGGCTTGACATGACCGCACTGATTTTAAAGAGCCAAAGCAGCTCAGCTCTTGCTGCGGCATAGCCAGGCCCTGCCCCACTGGCTCCAGTCCTGCCATGGCCCAACCCCCTCACCAGTGAAAGACCACTCCCAGCTAATCACCCAGCTCACTGCACCCTTTGTCTCCGCACCATCCATTCCCCATGCTGCTCCTGCTCCCCAAACCCTCTGCTCTCCCTCTGATTTTAAAGAGCCAAAGCAGCTCAGCTCTTGCTGCGGCATAGCCAGGCCCTGCCCCACTGGCTCCAGTCCTGCCATGGCCCAACCCCCTCACCAGTGAAAGACCACTCCCAGCTAATCACCCAGCTCACTGCACCCTTTGTCTCCGCACCATCCATTCCCCATGCTGCTCCTGCTCCCCAAACCCTCTGCTCTCCCTCTTCCCT